TTAGGAAACTTTTGGCATCCATTGAAAATCTGGACCTCCTTTGGAAGGACTTCCCTAGTTACTTCCATCTAATTTTGGTGTACTTTTGATCCCTTTTCATTTTCACCATTAGCTTTTCCAGAACAAAGTATGGAAAGTGGTCACTGATATCTGGGTTCATGTGGAAAGCCCGAGTTCAGGTGACTACCAAAGGCCACATCTCATAGGTCAGCACTTACCGTGGGTTGAGGCTGTGGTCCCTCCACTGCCCATGGGTGCATGGCTCCATCTGAACATTCAGGGACAGGCTCAAAGCCGGCCCCAACACCAGGCGCCCCTCCACAATCACAGCAGAGCAACAGAAACGGGACCACTGAGGATGGAAGAGGAGGGATACTGGAGTTAGCAGTGGGCCCGTGTGGAAACAGAACAAGTTACTTTCTGTACTTAAATTTGGCTATAAGTCTCTTGACTGTAAAATTATTATGAAGGCTTTGGAAAGCACACTGAATGATGTTCAGACACCAAAATAAATCTGAGCTTCATTGTACTAGATCGCAATCAATTTTAATTTGTTTTATTGTACGGAAATTATAAACAATATTATACTATTAAAACGAGCCTTTTTCATGTCAGTACTCAGGAAAATATAAAGGAGAGAAGAAGGAAGGGCACAGAGGTCAGGCAACATGTTTGATTTTGTGTGATCTTGCTTCTGGGTCTTTGTTACTATCTTTCTCCTTGCACGTGTGCTTGCCTTTCTGTATTTTATCCTTGTAATCTTACATATGCTTCTGGCCATTATTTTCTATGAGGCTACTATTTCCTCCCTACACATGTGGCTTTTCCTCTGAAATAGGGAACATGACATTGCTTAACAACGTCTTTTGCTGTTAATCAATTAGATACATTATGAAAGTATCTGCTTCTCATTCATCTATTGCCTACCAGCCTTTTATATAATGTAATCTTGATAAAGGGTTTTGAATGAATGAATGGAAGAATGTATAAATAAAATACTGAAGAAGGAAGAAAGAATATAAAAATGAAAAAAGACAGGGAAGAAGGACAATGTAAAAATAAAAATAAGGGGGAGAGAAAAGAAAAATGGGGGAAGAAAGAGGAAAAAAAAAATCCCATGTGTTGCTTTTTTGAAAATCTACAAGCCTCAGAGATAACTTTGAATCTAGAGGTAATGACTTTATAATCTGTGAATCTTTTGTTAACTACATTACCCAAAGCTAGTCACCAACATAAAAGACAAAGCCATCTGTGTAATTAAGATACTTTTATAATGTATTAAATTTTAAAGCTTTATAATGTGGGCTGATAATAAATATGGCTAAAAAATTAGAGCATTCTCTCTTCTTATATATATTTTACTTTACATTTTGCAAATTTGTTAGCATTTTTTTTTTTTTTTGCCCTGACTCATTTTGATGAAAATGCTTTCTTTTCTAAAACTTGTTCCCTTTTTCATAGAACTTTTCCTGGTCATTACTTCAATTTAGTAGGAGCCAATAAGAATTTCCTTTTTTCGGAGGAGGGAATATATTTTACATAGTTGATAAAAAGTCTCAACTCTAAGCTGTGTTCTTAGCATGTCCAAACTCACTGTGGTTTAGATTAACCCAGTGTCCATTAAAAAAGTTCAAAAGCCTCAGAAAAAAAAAGTTCAAAGGGGTGAATTATTTAAAATTCGAGAAAACCCACATTCAAATGAAATACTGTAAAAAGTCATTTATGTCTGTACATGTCTTAGGAGAAATGAGGACAGAAACAATATTTTGCCTGTGACCGTGTTTTGCTCTGCCTTCACGTGTATGTGTGTGTTTAATTAAATCTCTGGGGTGGTTTCTGACATTGAGGTTTCATGATTCTGCACTCAAAATGGAAATATCTGCGTGAATTGAATGAGAATGGGCACATTTCAACCTCCTTACTTCAGAGCCCCCTTCTCATTTCTCAGAGCCTTTAGCGTGGGCCTCCTCTGCAGTGTACTTTTATTTTTGTCATCCAAGGTCAGGCTAAAGGCCCCCTGGAGAACCATTTCCATTTTACCCTCACAACTGGGTCCTTGACTCGTGCCACTCAAGGTTCTAACTGCTTCATGTGTGGCATTTCTTTTTTGTTGTTATTGTTGAGACAAAGTCTCACTTTGTCACCCTTGGTAGAGTGCCATGGTGTCACACAGCTCACAGCAACCTCCAACTCTTGGGCTTAGGCGATTCTCTTGCCTCAGCCTCCTGAGTAGCTGAGACTACAGGCGCCCGCCAGAATAACCGGCTATTTTTTGTTGCAGTTTGGCCAGGGCCGGGTTCGAACCCACCACCCTTGGTATATGGGTAGGGCACCCTACTCCCTGAGTCACAGGTGCCACACTTTCATCATCAAAACAATGCTGTGCAGTAAATATTATTATTTCACAGATGACAAAAGTGAGGCTCAGACAATTAAGCTTAGAAACTGGAGTTTAACTTAAGTCTATTAGACTCTGCTTTTTTCACGAATTAGGCTACGGAGCATCAGCATAGCTTGGCATCCCTTCAAAGTCCTGCCCTTGCCTATCTTTCCAGTCCCGTCTCTCACTACCCTAACACACACATCCTTTATTTCTCCTGCACTGGAGTGTTCTGTATTTCAGTACCTTGCATTCTCGTTCTTTTGGGTTTTTGCACATGGATTTTTTTCCTCCTTATATTGTGTTCCCTCTCTCTTATCAGTCTAACTTCTATTCATCAGTTAAAACCCAACTCAGTTTATCTCTCTATGTGGCCTTTTTTGATTCTCTTTACCATTCAATAAGCAAGTCGAGCCTGCTTGTTGGGGCACTTTCCCATCACACTGACACTGGCTACAAACAATCCTATGTGTACAAAGGGTCAAGAAGTTTAACTTTTTCATCTTATAAACCCAGTGCCAAGCATCGGAATCTCTTGATTATGGCATAAAGTGAGAATTTCTAAAATATATTTTATCCCCAAATCAGAAAACTTATTTCCCTGACACCATTTTGGGGGGGGGCACATGTAAATAGGACTGTTATAGTACTTACATCCTAGGACTAAGAATCCCATGATGAGCAGTCCAATGCCAGCAGGACCAAAATGTACGTTATCGTCCAGACGCTGACGGTTGGGGTACAAATCAGGTTCATCCACAGTGGGTTGCCGGCTAACTAAGCCTGGTGAGGTAGTATCCTCTCCCCCATTGTTATTGGTGTTTGTGTTAACATCTCCACCGTTTCCATTGTCATTGGTGCTAGAGGTACCTGTACCACCACCAGTACTACCGCCAGTACTACCGCCAGTACTACCGCCAGTACCACCACCAGTACTACTGTCAGTACTACCACCATTAATATCTCGGTCATCCCAGTTTTGAAGGTCAATATTAATGGTACCAGTGCAGGTTCTTTGAAGATCATCTGTAATAAGGTTCAAAATGAGATAAACATTTTACACATTTGCTATAATAATTGCTGAAGTACACAGAACTATTTTTTATTTCAATGTCTTTATTCCCATTAATTCAGTAATTTCACAAATCGCCTCTTGTCTATGTCTTGGTTTTTAAATAATTAAATTCATGTAATATTATTGTTATAATTAATTTATTGTTATTAGCTATTTTATTGGATTATTTCTTTATTTTATAGTTGGATGTTATATATAATTTAAAAAGTATAGAGTTATTGAAAGAAGAAAAACCAAACTAAAACAACACCAAACTCATAGTAGTAATACTCAAGGACAACCTCTGTTGATATTTTTTAATCATTCTTCAATCTTTAAAGAAAGTTGCTGAAAAGTTGCTTATTATTTATGTTACTTTGAGATGATCATATGGTTTATTTTTTTTCTTTAAGCTATAAGCATTCTTTCATATTTTTTTTTTTTGAGACAGAGCCTCAAGTTGTCACCCTGTGTAGAGTGATGTGGCATCACAGCTCACAGCAACCCCGAACTCCTGGGCTCAAGTGATTCTCTTGCCTCCACCTCCCAAGTAGCTGGGACTACAGGCGCCCACTACAACGCCTGGCTATTTTGGGGTTGCAGCCATCATTGTTGTTTGGCGGGTCCAGACTTGATTTGAACCTACCAGCTCAGGTGTGTGTGGCTGGCGCCTTAGCTGCTTGAGTCACAGGCACCAAATCCATTCTTTCATATTTTAATAAACTTTTCATTAACAGAGTTCCTGATGGCTACTTAATTTTTAGCAAGAGAAGTATGGTTTATGTACCCAGTAACCTATCATTGATACTGCTTTCAATATTTAATTATTAAAAGTAGTGCCATAATAAACATCTGTGTATTCAGACTTTTAGATTTAGAATTTTCCTAAGATTATTGAAAGTAAAATTATTGGATAAAAACATAGAAATAATTTGTTTGAGGTTATTTTTCTTATCCCTATTTTATGTATCTGACCTCAGTTATCTGACTTTGAGCATTGATGTAACCTTAGGATCTGGCATAATGACTAACAGTTGTATATACTTTCTAAATAAATAAAACATTCCTGGAGGCATACAAATATATTTAATCTAGTCTATTTCATACCAAAGCCCGTATTCTTTCAGTTCAACTATGTTAATTCCATTGTTATTGTCTTCGTTATTTTTATCATTATTATCAGATTTTCTAGATCCACATTGTTATTGTCCCATTTTAAAGAAGAGAAGACTGAGGTATAGATAGGCTAAATTACTTCTCCCAGAGCCCACAGCTAGTAGGTAATGGTATAAGATAATTCAGTCTTACTTCAGATGATGTTAGCCATGAAATTATACTGTCTCATACTCATATGAATATTTGAGTCTATAATGCCCACCTTGACAACAAGTTTTGTTAGAAAATGTGTTACTTTGAAACATAATAATTAAATTTTTAATATGCAAGAGTATATATAGTTTCCTGTCTAATAGAAAAAAGGTAAATTGATCTCTTACCATCTATAGATAGAATTATTCCTTGGTATTTTCCTCCAAGCATTTTAACTTGTTCCCAAGTAAGTCGATTTTTCAAAGTGAGTACTCCTGTTCTTGAGTCAACAGCCAGCAGATCACCTGGATTACTTCCCATTACATATCTGTATTTGAAAGAAAGATGGTACAAATAAAAGTCAGTTATCTTACAAAAGGAGGCATTTTTCCAGTCAGTAGTTGTAACTGCTGGATATAGTTACAATTATTAGAAACTTTTTGTTCAGGGCCATCTTGGCTGTATTGGGCTACTCAGAAGTAGACAATGGTTTAAATTTAACAAAAAGAAATTGCTGAGCGGACATTTGGAATATCTTTTTTGCCCAGTTGGATGTCAGATTAATCCTTTGATGCTTGCAGTCTCATTTCCTGGGATTTCTTAGGCTTCTCCTAATTCCAAACTATTCTCTTACCAAAGGAGTTACTTCTCCATCAGCCTGCCTCTCCCCCTCTTCCCACTCTGCCTCCCCACGTGCACAGTGGACGCCTTTGAAGACTTCTTCGGAATTCCAAGTGATGTCCTGGCTTTGGGTCTCTGTCCTATTTTCTCCCCACCTCTGACCTTGGCATTTCCCTTCTCATTTATGTCTTTGTGATCACTGAGTAGATAATGCTGTGTCTCTCCCAGGAGTTTTATGAAGTGCAGGGAAAAGAATTTTTAAAGGGTAGGGGACGTTTTCCCTCAGTGAGCTCATTCTTATGGGGTACAAGACAGCAGAGGGGCCATGGCAGCACAGTGTGGTCGGACTTGTAACTTAACTGCTCACCCAGGGGAGGAGAGCACAGAGAAAGAACTTTGAAGACACATTTGCGAGGTCTTTCTCCTTCTATTCTTCTCAATCACAGTCACGTATGCAAAGACATGTACACACACATTTTCCATGACGAAGTAGAGATATTTGGATACTTAGAGTTTTAAAAATGGCATAGCATCATTGTTCCTTAATATAACCAATTTTTCAAGCCAGAGTTATTGACCAATAATTAAGCGTTGATTAAAGCGAAGAATGTAATTGAAAAGAGCTCACTAAATCTAATGGATTTGAAGCTGGGAAGACTTGCAATGGGAAAACCAGATCCTTAAAATCTTTCAAGGGACTAAACTGGGACATGAGGTAATTAGCTAATTGATATATAAAGATATATAAACACAGGAATGTCAAACCTCTGAGATGTATTGCTTTTCACATATTATATCTTCATAGTTTAACATCTTACATCTTGCACAAATTTTTATATTTTCTTAAGTTATACACTCTAAGTAACCATTTTGTAGTTAGTACTTTTTACAATTGAGGGATGGTTCCATAAATAATGAGAAAAGTTTTAATTCAGATACTTAACATTCCTAACAAGAACATACATTTAATACATGGTGAAAATTAATTGGAAAATGTCATTCTTACCTAGCAGTTGTTGAAATCTGATTCGTGTCCAGGTCAATAGCTGAGAATTCTCCCACTCTATCATTTATTCCCATACGGCCAGTTACGACATATGTTTTTGAACCTGGACGAAACACTGGGCCTTCCCTTACATTTTTCACAGTCACAGAGACTGCAGTTGCTGTGAGTTTATATTGAGACATAATTGATTGGTGAAATTCAGCTTTATTTCTAACGCCAATACTAAGTTGCAGGTTTTTCACAGCTTCATAATCTAGGGGCTAGAAAAATAGAGTAAAATAGTTTAAAAGAAAAAAAGGTAAAAGAAAAGACCTTCAAGAATAGTAAAACAACAACAACAACAAAAAAAAACTTATGTTTTCTTTCTTTAATTAAACATAAATACATACAAACCTATGATCTATTCTTTCTTTTTAATCTTCAGTTCAGCGTTTGTGTGTACAAGTACAAAAAACCTAGATCCATTGCTCAGAGGTTGACAGCTTGTAACATGAACTCTAATTGTTCACCAAACAAATTAAAAGCTTAAAATAATACATATGGTCCAAATTTATACATTTTTAGTGCACAGACAACTTATGTCACCTTTAATCATTTCATATTTCTCAGAAAGTAGCTCTATTTATTAAAAGGCATGGGTCAAATATAATCATGTGATAGGTTTCATTCATAAAGAACTATGAAAAGTCATTTCACTTCTATAATTGTGACTCTTTGAATAAGTCAGGTAATAGAAAATAAGAAAATTCTTATTTTTTCAATATAGTCTAGAAAAAGTTTATTTCATATTATAATATAATCAAGTCGTGATTTCATTATGAAAAATGATGTTGATAACCACAACATAAGAAATCCAGAAACAATTCCACCAGGACACTCATACATACCAAATAGATTTTTCTAAATTCTCATAGGAGTCATTTAGAGAAAAATAGAGAGTCATACATTGAACTCCCCTCTTTAGCTAATATTTGAATTTTTGTTCTAATGTTGATTTTATTTTCAATTCAAGGAATCTCTATAAAATCATATATTCATATATATTATACACACACGTATGTAAATAATTTTAGCAAAGTAGTTAATACATGATCTTATGTCTGGGGAAAACAATTATCATTTCCATATCACAAATAAAAGACATTGAGGACAAATAGGCTGAAAAACTTTCTAAAGTAACATAATAGTTTGAGGTGAAATACATTAGGGCCCATTTTCTCCAGTATTGAAGCCTAGATAGTATCATGGAAAGAATGTGAACTTTACATCTAGAGAAAAGTAGATGTGAACATGGGTTATGCCACTCGCTAGCTCTGAGAACATGTGCAGGTCACGTGCTGTCTGTGCCTTAATATTTTCATCTGCAAGATGGGTCTGCTATAACCTAATTTATTAGCAGGGATGCTGTGAGGGTTAAACTAAAGCTTGCGCACACTGCTTTAGGTTAAATAGAAGCTGTGTGCCTGGTGACATTTATGGAGGTATATGAGGCAAAACCCCACCGTTCCTATAGGGACAAAGTTCCTGAGGAGTCTGTTTCCCAGGACAATTCTGAAAGAAATAGCTAAAATGGAATTACATTTTACCATGAAAGTACTTACTGCATGCATGACATACAATACATGTACAGGGACTACAGATTTAAAAGATTAGGCCCTGTAAGTCTTGTAGTACAGGGACAAACTTTCACTGTCAGCACCCTAGGAGGCAGAATTTTTCTTCTCACATCTTAGAGGAAATTGTCACTGGAGGTAAGCATGGTAGACCAACATGGAGGACATAGAACAACACTGTTGAGTGGGACCAAATCACCAGTCTATTTGTGTTCCAAGGCTTAGCCTTGGTCAGCAGCTAGTGAGTTCGGAGTATGATAATTCTACAATTACTGTAACTCAATTTTAATTTTGTAAAAATGTATTGGAGGAATAAACACTTTTTTTTTGCAGTTTTTTTTTTTTTTTTTGGCCAG